CCCTCAGACCTTGTGGGGGGCCGGACTATATTTTTTTTGGGGGGGAATGATCGAATTCCTACGCCCCACAAATAACCCAGAGATGCATTTTACATAAAAGGACACATTCTACTCATTTAAAAACGCGCTGATTCCCGGACCGTCCATGGGCCGGATTTGGAAGGCAATTGGGGCGGATCTGGCCCCCGGGCCTTAGTTTGCCTACCAATGAGTTACACCATGAATTGTACCCAGCAGGTAACAGGCAAGCAGTGCAACAAAATTCAGCGCATTTTTGGCAGCCCACTCAGAATAGTAGGTGTACAGCAAGGCTGTTCTAGAACATGCTTATTTAGAAATTGTAAGGCTTGAATCTGAAGCATTTGCATGCTGTACGGATTTCACATTTGAACATGTAAATTCCGCTCCTGGCAATGGCCAAAGGATCGATAAGTTTGGGCAACAAAATTTGAAGTGTATAGGAAGAAACAGCGGGTTACAGAGGGTTGTATATAAGTGCTAGCCTTGCTCACAGTAGATGCACTGAAGTTAATGGACATGGCTAACTTGGGTTCATTCATTTCAGCGGGTCTGCTCCAAGAAGATCTTAGTCGGATTCAACCTAGGATATTTAATCACCTGTTTTGATTTTTGCTTTACTATGCTCAACATGCAACAGAAAATTACCTGATTTGGAAGTGGATTGATTTATGGCTGCAATAACTCGCAATCACACATTTCACATATTGTATACTTCACATGTTTGTGCATCCCCACCCCTAGAACAAAAGCTTCTGTTCACCCCAGAAGCAGCCATTGCTATCTCCTTGCTTCTGAGAGCTTAGCCTGTCTTTAGCATTTGGTACTGCTGGGACAACAAACAAACAAACAAATAAATCTCTTTTCACTGCCTGCATTTTTATTTAGGGATTTTGCAGGGCAACATTAGATGTGCTATTTACCCTAGGCACTCACTGGTGCTTTGCCCCTCAGCAGGTTTTACGATGGGGCCATGAATGTATTTGGAATAGCAAGGAGTCCAAATTTTACACAGGATAAAAAAGCAACTTCTGCCTGCCTGCATTGTGTTTTCCTCAATAGGCTGTTCTAGCTCAGATGTGCCTGATGTTGTGCTAAGCTAAGCAGAGCTCTTCCCAAGAGACTGTCATTCCCCTGACTTACGTTGAGCACTTTTTGTTGTTGTTAATTTGTTGAGGAAGAGGTATGTTTCTCCCTATGTATCCAGTCTTCACTGCCCAGAGTTCGGCTGTATGGATTGCAGATAACTGTACAGGGTACATGCCAGACAAGAACGGAAGGACTGTAATACACCATCTGTATCAATTAGTGTTTTGTTAAGTGCTTCTCTTTTTGGTTCCTAGAAGGGCTACTGGGTACCGAAGGAGGAAATGTGTTGAACCTCTTGCAGTGTTTACATACAAATTGAGAACTAGCTGCCTGCGGATGGTTGACGGTGTTGTGATATCTAGGATATGTTTGATGCCTAAAATAGAACAGAGGCTTGCATTTCTCATGGTGTTTGAACATGCTGTAAAACTTGTCATAGCTTAAAATAATGATGCATTAGAATTAGAGGTTTGGGGAGGAACTGGCAACTGAAGCACACAGAAGAGTATTCAGAAGAAGAAAGGAAGATAGCTGTTTAAGGAACCAGTGGTACCCACAACACAGTTGCTGAAGAGGAATGCTCTTGTCCAGAGCTCAGGTCAGCCTGGAAGAGGATGCTATAAGGCCCTTGTTGCTGCTTAGACCTCCCAGGTGGGGTGGCTTTTGGTTCTGGAGTGTATAGTTGCTGCCGCCTCCTGCTCCTCAGCTGATGAAAGCTCTTCCATTCAGTGTAAACATTGCTCAGCTATTATATCAGGCAGCTTCCTGAGCATCAATTTTGTGTGTGGCCATTTCACTGTTGAACTGATAGGCATTCAACTTCCTGAGCGCTCTCTGTTGGAGGGAATAACTTTACAATTATCTTGAAACATGTATGCATCACTTGTTCATAAACTGGTCTCTTTACATTTCCGCTTATTGTTGTAATCTTATGTTTTAATTCCTGTGTAAGCTAGTCCATGACTTGTTGCCAAAAGAGGTTTTTTTAATTGTAAATGAAAAGGTAATCAAAGCCACGAAGCTGAAGGGGTAAAAAAGGAGGTGTGTCTGAAAGGGACTAAATAAATGTTTTGCAAATGAGGGTTTTATGAAATGTAGCTGATTGATGGTTTAGAGACTTATCTTGAATTCCTGTAACCTGAAATAGTTAAAAAATGTGCTTAAAAAACAACTACAACACCTTTTTCAGTTTACTAGGTTTGCTTCAGAGTTAAGAGCTACACAAAAAAGGTTATGTAAAAACAGCAAAGAGCTCTGGCAGTACTTTACTAACCATTGTGGACAAAATGGCTAGAACACTGAGGAAGATCTCAGCTATTATATAAATATTTCAGGTTATTGCATTCACTTCTCAGTTGCTTCCCAGGTAGATCGATTCTAGTGTCTTTTAGTTAGGGTTAAATTCTAGTTTTCATTCAGAGCACAGAAGATACACTTAATTTTCTGAAGCATAAATGAATAGCCTAAAAAAATTCTGTAGAGACATCACCCTTTTAATACTGTCGCTGTCTGTTTGTTTTAGACTTGATTGCCCCATGTGTTTGAACTCTATATAAATAAAATATTGTGTTCTACTACTTAGAAGCACCCGGTATACATTATTGATGGTTCTCATGTACTTAAGCTCATTACGTATGACAACTGTTTGGAGCAAATAGCCCTTTTAGTGAAGGTGTTACAGATTTGAGATGAAATAAAAGTCTATGAGCAAGCAAATTTTAAAATCCTTTATTAAAGAAACAATGTCTATGACCAAGCAGATTAGAAAATCTTTTATTAAAGTAACAGTGTCTATCAGTCATCCTTTTTTTTTTAACCACAATGAGCCAGCACTAGCAGTAAAAATAAAACCAACTAAGCTTGAAGAGAACGAGGCCAGCAAATTGACGTGCTTTTTTATTTGTGGACTGTCAGTAGTCTTAAGAAATAGAACAGTGCAGATGTAGGCACTTGATCAGCCATAGGCAAACTCCGGCCCTCCAGATGTTTGGGACTATAATTCCCACCATCCCCAGCTAACAGGACCAGTGGTCAGGGATGATGGGAGTTGTAGTCCCAAACATCTGGAGGGCCGGAGTTTGCCTATGCTTGTACTTGATCATTTAAATATGGATCAAAGTTGGTTAGCAAGCCATAGTTATATCTGTGGCTTCTCTACTGTACTTTTTAACTGTAGTTAAGGCCGCTGTAGGTAGATTGGGGGAATTTGCATTCAAAAGAAGGGAGAGATGGTGCATATATACAGCTGCCAAGGTTCTAACTATGGTTATGATGGGGCTTGATAACAAATATCTGTCAAACATTTTGAAATACAGTGGTACCTCTGGTTATGTACTTAATTCGTTCCGGAGGTTCGTTCTTAACCTGAAACTGTTCTTAACCTGAAGCACCACTTTAGCTAATGGGGCCTCGCCATGCTGCCGGAGCACGATTTCTGTCCTCATTCTGAAGCAAAGTTCTTAACCCGAGGTACTATTTCTGGGTTAGCGGAGTCTGTAACCTGAAGCGTACGTAACCCGAGGTACCACTGTACAGATAATCATTTTGGGCAGGGGTTCCATTCCTGGGCCCTGTGCACATACATCAGTGGAGTGTGCGTAAGCCAGCCCTGCTATGCCCCCATTCTGCCCTCTTCTCAGTCGCCCGTCAGTTAAAGGTACCCCTGCCTGTACGGGCCAGTCTTGACAGACTCTAGGGTTGTGCGCCCATCTCACTCAAGAGGCCGGGGGCCAGCGCTGTCCACAGACACTTCCGGGTCACGTGGCCAGCGTGACATCGCTGCTCTGGCGAGCCAGAGCCGCACACGGAAACGCCGTTTACCTTCCCGCTAGTAAGCGGTCCCTATTTATCTACTTGCACCCGGGGGTGCTTTCGAACTGCTAGGTTGGCAGGCGCTGGGACCGAGCAACGGGAGCGCACCCCGCCGCGGGGTTTCGAACCGCCGACCTTTCGACCGGCAAGTCCTAGGCGCTGAGGCTTTTACCCACAGCGCCACCCGCGTCCCTCGCCCGTCAGTTAGATACACGCAAAATGGTCACTGCCTGTACAATATAGTTCAGTTCAGATGACTTTCCAAAGCATGGTCCTTGAGGATAAGATATAACTTGTGTGCGCCTGCACACTTGTTCTCCTTTCAAGCACAACTTCACTTGGTAGTTTAGCAAAGCATAGGTTGTGTTTACATCTGAACTGCACACTCTTTTCCAGGCTTGCCCTCCAAACCATGACCAGAAACCACTTCAGATTATGGTGTAACTGACCGATTTGGACAGTGCAATGATTTACGATTAGTGCTAAACTGCAAACGATGTGCTTGATTTTGTGGGGTGGGCAAATGCACAAACCTAGATGAACCTTTGCAGAACAGCATACAATGGCAGCATCAGATACACAATGCTGTTCTAACATTTGAAGATAATAGTTAAAAGGTCACCAGTCAGGATTTCTCTTTGGATGGGTAATAAGAAGGTGGGGGTTGGGGAGGCACAGGGATAACTAGCTTTCAGAACAACCTACTTGCAGGGGTAACGGAAGAATATCAATTTTTGGGAGCAAGCAAAGTAGACAAGCTATCCCTAGTCTCCTGGTATGAGCCAGTAATAGTAATTGGACATTATTACTTAACAGAGTAAATTAGCTGTGGCAACCAGACCCATGATTTCTCCATGTAAAAAAGATAATTGCCAAACTGGATTGTACCATATTTATGGTACTCCATGACCCTGTTGTACTTTCAGTGGCAGGGTCACCAGGTGAAGGGTTTGGCCAAGAACTGTAGAAAACGTTTCAAGCCTGGTCATGAACTTGTATGGTGCAGTTCATTGGCCTTGAAGTCCTTGACTCATGTTCACAGTGAGTGTGACTTTGTGCATTTCCATTTTTCTTTTGGTTAGGTGCACTTTCCAGACACAGAGAGAGCAGAATGGCTGAACAAGGTAAGTTATTCTTTCCTTGCCTGGAAGTTCCTTTTATTGCTTCTTCCCGTTGACATTTTGTCTTTTGACCAACTCTTATTACCTATACTTGGTGCAGACGCTCAGAGTATCTTGTAAGGGACTTGAAGAGAATAGAAAGGAGTTTATCAACTCCTCCTCATGTTGGCAGCCATAACTTCATGCTAATTAGTTCTCACATATTTGCAGGAGAAGTGATGGGGAACCTTCTGGCTTTTGGGGTCCCTTCTGAAATGAAATTCCTGAGTCTGTATTGCAGAGGGAAAGCTCCCAGGGTGATGAACAGATAATTTATTGGAGAGGCTTATTTTCTATAACTGATTTGTCAATCCTACTGTCATGGGGAAATGTTTTTAATGCAGATGTAAGCCTTTAGTTGATCCTAGTGCCCTAACTTAGGGGAAAACTCCAAATTGTTACTGTTAAGCTGAGTTAGAGGACAATATGAGGCAACTTGTCTGATTTCCGTAATCCAATGACTGCATCACAGGTAGAATCTTCCGACCATGAATGGATGTGTGTGAAAGTGAGAGTGTTGTCCAATCTGCCCCTTCATCATAGTCCTCCCCTCCATATTTTCCTCCCTTCATGCTTTCCTCCCTTCATTTTGTGTGTGTGTACTCAAAATTTCATAGATGTACGAAGTATGTATGTAGCCCTTTGCTGTGCAGTTTGATGTGAGGTTTTCCTGGTGCTGCTGCTTATGTTCTCAGTGCTGTGCTTTGCAACCCTCTTGCCCGAACACCTTCGTTCTCTAGGCAGGAGAGTGTTTAATGTCACATTTAGTTTTTGTGCCCCCCCCCCCCCGCATTTATAATAAGACTTTCACACTGCAGCATCACTCAGTTATAAGAAGGGAAGATGATGTGATATCAGCTGTTTGTTGCATCACCCCTCTTACTGCCCTCCTTTCTTTGCCTTCTTGCAGCCAGTGTGGGCCCTTGAATTCTTATGCTGTGCCATTGCAGAATATGAAGCATGGCCTTTCAGCTTTTAGTGCAACTGCACAGAAAATGGACTCTAGTATGATCTTCTATGGCTTAACGTTCCATGGATAGTTATAGCCATAGAGACCTCAAGATGCCTATTCTTTTATGTATGTTACTTTCTCACTTCTATGGAGCATCTTTGATAGGAGTGCACGTCCAAAAACATTTTAGGTAGTCATATATTACATTAAAACATGAAAAAAGTTAAGTGAAAGAAGTACACAGACATGTTAGTTATATGGAGCACAGCAGATGAATTTTCCTGGTTGTAGCCTTTATGAGGCTGCTAAGGCAACTGAAGGTGATATAAAATGGGAAATTGTACACAAAACTTTTCAATGAAATACTTCTACTTATGCTATAGTGTGTTACAGGAAGAACCTACAAATGCCCTTGTTTTTCTTTCTCAGACTGTAAAACACATGTGGCCTTTCATTTGCCAGTTCATTGAGAAACTTTTCCGTGAAACAATAGAACCAGCAGTGAGAGGAGCAAACAGCCACCTGAGCACCTTCAGTTTCACAAAAATTGATATAGGGGATCAGGTAAGTTTCTTCTAGACTGTGCATACTGTCTAGACACTTGGAACCTTGTGTGAATTAGGGTGCCGGCTATTTTCTTAAGAGCGATTATGGGCAAAGAGTGATTACGGACAAGGTGGTAATGTACAAAAACAGCTATAAGTTCATTTATTCAGTTTGACCAGAGCTCATGTTTTGGCAATATTTTCCTGGAGATGATTATTTCAAAAGCGATATTTTGCTTTTCTGGAGGAGGGAAGATTGTAGTGTTGTTGTTGTTGGTTGTTATTGATCACCTGTCCTTTACCTTAAGCTCCCAGGGCAGGTTACAACATTAAAACACAACATTACAACACAATATTAAAAACTCTTTAAAACAGCTTACAATGCACTTGATGTGTTTCATGATATTTTTGTTGAGGAATTTTCTTATTTCGCTACTGTACTGAGATGATTGTATCAACTCATTGTGTGTTTGAAGAAACAATACCTATTTTAAACTAAATATTTATACGAGTCTTGTAGTATTGTCAATTGGCCGCAACATCTTTACATATTTTTGGCCGTATTCCAGTACGTTGGTGTTAACTGTCATCTTTGCCTTATGCTGAAGACAGTAGATTTTTTTTATTACAATTTTTTAGATGACTTTGCTCTTCCTGTCTTGTTTGTGGTCAATCAGAGGCTTAATTGGTGTTGTGGTGTTGCTGTGATAACAGAAGTGGAAGCATTTCAGAATGTAAACTACTGTACTTGTGTTACAATATTATCTAAAAAAATTTTAATGCAGTCTAGATGCCAAGATTGGACCAACATTTTTCCCATTATCCTTTGGAAAAACTTGCTCACAGCACAGGCGTACAAGCACTTCTGTTCAGAGCAGATACTGGTTGATTGCTCAGCTGAGCTGTGTGTTGTTCCCGGTCATGAATCTGCTCTGCGGATTGTAGTTCAAACATTAGTTATTTGGTTAACCATATCTCACAACCCACACTGTAAACATTTGGGCAAAAATAGCCTTGATAGATCTTGTAACACCGCTTCTGCTTATTGATTGATGTGGAAGATGTGTTATGACCAAAATGAGATATGCAATTTGTTTTCCTCTCTTAAACAGAATTGAAGTACAAACTTGGAGTAGAAACGGTGTAGTAGGTGGGAGGGGAGCAATTTTATAGAACACTCCTTTTTCCTTTCAGTTTTCTGTTATTCCAGTTTCTAAAACAAAACTCCCTAGAAACTGTATGGAATAGCAACATTATATTTACGAGAAATGACAAAATTCATCCTTGCCTCTTTTGAGTTGGGAATCGAACTTCCTGTTTATGTGGAACACTGAAGGTGGCATGCAAAATGCCTATTTGGGCTGAAATGTGTAGGTTTAACACAGTAATAGCATCTTATACATTGATGGTGAAAGTAGAGCCAATTCTCTTCCACTTTACAAAAGCATCCTTGCCAGGTTGCTTGGATCCAGTTCTTATTCGCCTCAAGTGATCAGGTGTGCTGCGTTTCAGTGTTTCTGGTACAGTATATGTCATTATAGGACAAAGAAACCCTACATTTTGATATAATGCTAATGCTTTTTATTACCCATGCAGTTTTCCTACATGGATTTTGTTCATAGTGACACATCCAGAATAAGAGGGGCATATTCCGTTAGGTGGCATTTCTGAATCTGTGTCCACGTCAGACAGCATTTCACACTTGATGGGATGATTTTAAGAGAATAATTACTTAAAACTTATTTTTCTCTTTAGCCTCTTAGGATTAATGGTGTTAAAGTGTACACTGAAAATGTGGATAAAAGGCAGATAATCTTAGATCTTCAAATCAGGTAAAACTGTCAAAATGTATACGTCACAAGTTTAAATTTCTCAAGTTTTGTATTTTTAAACAATGTTTCATTTTCCATTGGGATTTTTTTTGGCAAAATGCTTCCCTGTGCAGGAAAAGACATTTTTGTTTACATGATAATTTTTTTTTAGAAAACCACTAAGGGTTTTGATAGCATGAATATGTAACATTAAGCAAGGTACTATTGTGCACAGAAATAAAAAAAGAAGTTACACACATTTTTTGATAGTAAGAGCAGAATAAACGATTTCTTGGATCTGTGGATCTGTCACTTCAGTGAAGAGGGGTTTTCTTTCTTCTTGTTCAAGTCTGTCAATGGCCATAGTTTAGCATTACATGGATGAGCCTCCATGAACCCACACAGAACATCATGCTCATTCCCTCCCCATATTGACTGATCTCCTGGAGGCTTGTCCACACAGTGCTAAGCCAGCTTTGTATTTCAGCACTTCCCTGGTAGCTGTAGGAGAGAAGGAATTGTGTGTGGGCAAGTGAGAAGGCTAGTGGAGAAGGAATTGAGTGTTGTAACCCTTCTCTGTGCCCAGCATAGAAACCAAGCAGGCTTGCAGAGGAAGGAATCCTCCGCCTCCATTTTTTGCATAGATATGGCAGTAGGAAGGGGGGACAGAGCCCTCCATCTGTCTGCCAGGCCAAAGCACACTAGATTGGTTGTTTTTGTAGCTCCACTAAACCACAGTTAGCATTAGGCAAATTGGGGCTCCATTGTAACTGTTGAAAGTAGAGATGCATAAACTGCCAATATGTGACCTACGAGGGTTCCTTCGATGTACAAGATGTGCCTCAGAGATGAAGAGGGGGGTGTTTGGAAACAACCCCTTCCTGTCTCGTCCCCCCTTTCTATTAAGTAGATGACAGGATAAAGAATGAATTGGAGGGTTACACTACACTGCTTTTCATTAACTAGAAAGCTCACATACAACAAACTTTAACAATTTAATTATTATTATTTTGCCTTGAAGTGGTGCTTAAAAGGTTTTTTGGCTGATTGACTGGTTTAACATGTAGAACATGCTTTCTCTTTGTTTCACTGAGGCCTTAGATCAGCCTTCGTCAACATGGTGCCCGCCAGATGTTTTGGACTAGATCCCTGCGCTGGCTGGGGCTGATGGAAGTTGTAGTCCAGACCATTTGGAGGGTATCAGGTTGGCGAAGGCTGGCTTAGATACGAAAAAACATACAAATGAGGGGACTTTGGACTTCTCTTTTGAAACTGAGGGGAGGTTTCAAAAGCAGTTTGTAATATGGAACGGAGGAGTCTGTTGTTTCAAGAAGGCAAAATCTTACTTGGCATGACTAAAGTAGATCTTTGGATCCTGGCCAATAACTTTTTAGGTTTTAATAGGGACAAGCAGCACTAACCATGGTTCTTTGCCTTTATACTCTTGTACACTATAAATCTTTCATTCCTTCCCCTTTAAATTGTGTGAAAAGAAACCACATTAGTCATCTTCAAAGTATTCATGGGGACAAATGGTTAATAAACTTCCTAGTAATGTGTAACATGTCTGTCTGTCATACTTGGGATCTGCAGATTAATGTAGCCTTGCATAGTTCATAGACATTATGCACTCGGTGGATAAAATGTTCTGCTTAACTTGGTGTCCAAATAGCAGATCATGTTTCATACAAGCTGTATTGCAAAGACACAGTCCAAGGAATATGGGTTGAAGGGCAATAGTGTCATTCATGAATTGTATAGGTGCAGCCAGCTAGCCCTTTTCTGATTTGTCTTGTTTACTTCAGTTAGGTATATTTGGTACTGCAAAGTAATACAGTACCAAAGAGTCTAATCAGTTTAAAAGTAACAAAAAACAAAAAAACAGGATATAAAAGGTTATCTCTTGCATGTACACAGAATATACTGAGCACGTCATAAGGATTGGCAAAACATTTTAACTAATGAGCCTAAATGTGATTTCTGGCATCACCGGTATCAATGAGAAGACCTGCACTGGGAGTGCATGTTACATAGTGTTTGCCATACACATGGGGTTGTATCAAATGCTAATCATACTGGGAGCTAGACCCTCTGAAATTCATGGACCTAAGTTAGTCATGTCCATAAATTTCATTTGGCCTCTTTTGAGTAGATACTAGTTGGATACAACCCATGGTTTCTAATATGTAGAAAAACGCATTACAGAACATTGTACAAGGGCTGTGATTCAAGGAGGCCGTTAACTCGTGCGGAAATGATTGCACGTTTGCATCAAGGTTTATAAAGCAGTTCCACCTTTAGCAATGCTTCCCTGCCAAATCAAAGGCTGCTGTTTGTAACTGGAATCTAAGCAGAGGCTTGAGAGTTGGAGGAGGCCCTGAAGAGGAAACTACCGGTTAATCTGATGGCTTGTATCTAGCAAAGCAACACTGGGTCACAGCCTAGGCCTAATCTATTTCGAAAAATGATTTTTAAAATAAACTTGCCATTGATTTCTAAAAGTGGTCATTTACTAATGGGCTTTAACGTTTAATACAAAATTGCATTGTGTCCTTGTGCTTCTCAGTTTTGTTGGCAATTGTGAAATTGACTTGGAGATCAAGAGGTACTACTGCAGAGCTGGTGTGAAAAGTATACAGGTAAGCTGCGTTTTCTTCCTACCTGACACAAAACTAAATTATTTATAGATACAAATGTCATAAAACTGTGCAATCCTTTCCCCACCCCAAAAAGGAAGCAAACTTTTTAACAATTGTTTTGTTCTGTTCGGCATAGACCTTAAGTATGCAGGTATATTAACAGACGTCTCCATTAACGATGCAGTTCTCTATATTATTAATTCACGTTTAGTATTCTGAATCTTTCCCCCTCTTAGATTCATGGCACTATGAGAGTTATATTGGAACCTCTGCTTGGAGATATGCCTTTAATCGGAGCACTGTCTTTATTTTTCCTTAGGAAACCGGTAAGTTAAAAATCTAGATTTCTTCATTCTCCATCTTACAGATTTTTGCTTTTTCACTTCAGTAAACCGGTGCTTAGAATAATTTTCTAAATCTAGGGATGTCGAATGGGAATTTATGGCTCATCCTAGCGTTAGGCCAACCATGGTTCTATTTGAGTAAATCTGGTCCTGAAAATAAATTTGAGGAGATCAGGAGAGACTAGGCCTCCCTCCACTACCCCATGGTGGGTTGCTGACAAGTCCATGACTGTAACCACCATACCTTGGTCACATCCATACCATATATTTAAAGCACATGGCTTCCCCCAAAGCATTCTGAAAACTAGTTTGTCAAGTGTCCTGGAAGTTGTAGCTCTGTGATGGGTAAGCTGTAGTTCCCAATATTCTTTGCGGGAAGCCGTGTGTGTTGAATGTATGGTATGGATGCCTTCAGAGTAGAAAGCAGGACCTAAACTGGCCTTGGGAGCTACCACTGGCTGATTCTTGATCAACAAGGTTTTGTTGCCTTCAGTAAAGTTGAAGGTCAGTTTACGTTTATGGTAGGAGAACTAAAAACTGTAGTACACTTTTCTGTTCTGGCCACCTTTTTCATGCTTGTACAAAGTATAATTTCAATAATCAAATGAAAGGCCATGTTGATACAGTCATGTTTAGGCATCAAAGGTTAATGGTGGTGGGTGTATCTGTTGTCATCCTCTTAATATACCAATATCTACTGCTCCTGAAAGTTGGAATCATTTGTTAAGCAAGCTGTAGTTGGAAACTACTCAAATTCAGTTTTAGTTTCATGACATAATTAACTAAAAGGAAATAAAAACCTAGTGCGACATAATTCAATTGGATTTTAAACAGTTTATATTCTGCAGGTCTGGTGTGCAGGTCTAGTACCTAATTTATGAGAATCTCCACTTTTATTTCAAAAAGGGAAATATCCAGAAATCATGGTTGCTGAGAAGATGAAAATGAGTTTGAGGATAGTGTTTATGAAGGCTCACAAATCAGATAGGCAGGGATCGTCTGCATGATGAAGTCCCTCTTATATGATCCTAATCTCTTATTTCCTGCCTCTTTTGCCTTCCTCTTTCATTCTCTTTCTTTTTCCCCTCCCCAAAATATTCTGAGCTGCAAAATCCTAAGTATTATTTTGTTGATTGTTATTTAAAATGTTCCCAAACAGTGTTCCCAAACAATGTACAGTAAAGATATCGGAAAACAGAATGTATAATAGAAATAAATATGTAGGGCAGTATCTAACAAAGTGCTTCTGCTAGCACAAAGATTTCCACATGCACAGCAAAACCCATAACAGATTTAGGGGGTACACAGGGAGATGAGAGGGAGAGGAAGTTCCGTTTTGCAGCAGAAAGTTCCTGCATTATTAGAAACACTTCATTGGCTACCACCCATACAGAGCAGATTAAATGCAAAACTTTAAAACTCCAAATTACACAAATTTTACAGTTATAGACTGCAAAATGGCTGAAGCTGCCTGAAGGCAAGAATTGTAGGCGCATGTCTAATTTTGATTGGAAGCTGATTCCAGAGAGCTTTGTAACTGCTGCAGAGTTATGCAAACTGGAGAGCTCATATAGGTTTGGGCACGGGAAGGTATTGTAAAGTTCTGCCTGCCACTGCAGATGAAGAAGTATTTGACCTTGTTCTGTCATATTCTGTGAAGATCATACTTTTCATTTGGCATCTTGCTTTGCTCTGCTGTCACTCTGATTTCAGTGTATCCTATAAACAACTAAAATTGGAGGTTAGTGCTTATCATCATCTAGAGGTAGGGAATGTCCCCCACCCTTCCTAGTTATATAGAGTATGCAATATTTGCTTAAAATATCCAGGTGTGGGAAGCGGAGTACAGAAAGGAAAGAGATTTTAACCATTTGTGGGGTTTGACTTGTAGGTTAGTTTCTAAAGCATTTTTATCCTGCTCTTCTGCTGGGAAAAGTCTCCCAGGGCAGCTTATGTAGAATCAGTAAAACAAAACAGTCTGTGTCTATACTGTAGTCTAAAAGGCATGATACAAGAGGAAAACAGGAAGAGGAAAACAAGGGACGCTGGGGAGCACTTCCTAAAGATACATACTAGTTCTAATGACCACGAACTGGAGTAGGAGCAGTGAAGGGAGTGGAGAATCTGGAGCAGGCACCCCCAAACTCGGCCCTCCAGATGTTTTGGGACTATAATTCCCATCATCCCTGACCACTGGTCCTGTTAGCTAGGGATGATGGGAGTTGTAGTCCCAAAACATCTGGAGGGCCAAGTTTAGGGATGTCTGATCTGGAGCTTGTTTCTCAGCAGAACCTATGGAATTGCATCCCATCTTTCCTTCTACAGTTCTCTCTTTTCTCTCCCTCTCCCCGTCTCTCTCCCTCCCCTGTTTTAAACTGAGCTAAAGTTGGGCCATAACTTTTATTAACTGCCAGCATTCAGCCCAAGAACATGTGAAATAATAGCTGGTCTCTGAACGTTAGTAAAATGCTTTTCTTTACTCCTTGACAAATCACATGATTGACCTCCACTGTCAGAGGCATTATGTTTTCAAGACCCATTGCTGGGAATCAATGGTGGGCAGAATGCTGTTGCTCTCATGTCCAGTTTGCAGGTTTTCACAGGCATCTTGTGAGCCACTGTGAGAACAGGATGCTGGACTTCATGGGCCCTTGGCCTCATCCAGCAGACTCATCTCATGTTCTTACGCTCTTCGTCATAAGAAATATTTCATTGCCCTCAGACTTTATACAAGAAAAAGTTTCTAGGTTGCTTTATCTTGGCAGCTGCAGCTAATTAGAGTTCGCACCTTTTATAATTGCTCAGCCTCAGGGTGAGGAAAAGGTAAATTGAAGGAGACAAGTTATCCTTCCAGAGACCACACTCTCTGAGCAGAGATCTTCAATATTTTTCCGGGTGAAAAGGATATAAGCGGCAGAGCTCTTTACAAAACAGGGAGGAACTGGCCATAAAAATTCTGGCTCTATAAATTTATGAGAGATGGATCAGAACTGAACTGAGCATGTACAAGGGACTTATTTTTAAAGAGGCAAATCATAAGAGAGAGATTAGAGCAACACAAAGCTTGGAAGTCTGATAAGAAGTGAAAGGCACCATGATTTCTACAGCTGCATAATACTACCGCTCTGTTCTTTGGCATCTCTCTAATGAAAATTTGTGCCAGAATATAGTGGGAAACAGCTTCACGGCTCCAGGGTGCAATAAGAACAAGGAGCGTATGTGACTAGAGCAGCCTTTTCCAGTCTGTTGTGCTCTAGACAATCCCCATCATACTTGACCATTGGCCATGTTGACTGGGGCTGATGGGAGCTGGCATCCAGCAACACTCTGGAAGGTCACATGTTCCACTATAGCTCTTGCATCCTGCAAATACCTTAAAAACTTGTAATTCTTAGGATGCAGTAAATTTTGATTTCGCCATGCTAAGGCAATTATTCCTAAAACACCCAATTATTCAAATATGAGAATTTATCGTATTGAAAGAGGCTGTAAGAAGTCATTCTCAGTGAAGCAAAAGAGCAAGGATTTAAGCTGCAACTCTGGGGGTTTAATTTGTGGAAGTGAATACTTCATTTTCCTATCAGTGTTTAATATGCAACATTTCTATTTTCCTTGGGTTAGTTCTGTGCTTATTTTAGTTCTGTTCATAGGACACTGAAATAACCTCATTGGCTAAACTTTGCAAACTAGCCACCACCTGCAGTTGTTATTTTTAACATTAAAAAAAAGATGACCTGGAGCAAATTCACTGTTTTTTAAATTGGATTAGCTGGTCTGCCCAAGAAGCAGGTGGCTAATAAAGATGTTAAATTATCCTGTCCAGCTTTGCTGCTGTGGTTAGTGGAAACAAGGTTTATTTGGAAAAAGGATTACTGTTTCAGCTGGGGTAATACATGTTAAATAAATTTAAAGGGCATTGCCCCAGGGATGAACTGCTGCATAAGGAAGTATTGGATGTGCTAAATAAGTAATAGTTGCATTATTGGGATGTAGTTGCTGTCTTGTTTTAGAATAGGGGAACTTCTATTGAGGTTTTTTCCCCCCTCCCCCTCACCCATACGAGCTTTTATACAGGGTACCTCAGGTTACAGACGCTTCAGGTTACAGATGCTTCAGGTTACAGACATCACTAACCCAGAAATAGTACCTCAGGTTAAGAACTTTGCTTCAGGATGAGAACAGAAATCGTGCGGCAGCGGGAGGCCCCATTAGCTAACGTGGTATCTCAGGTTAAGAACAGTTTCAGGTTACAAACGGACCTCCAGAATGAATTAAGTTCTTAACCAGAGGTACCACTGTATTCCATTTCTTTTCTCCATATGAAACAAACGAGTAACCTGTTTTGGGGTGGAGAAAAATATTGGGTGGGGGAGAGAGAAGGGGGTACTGCTGATTCTGACCCTACCCTCTTTTTGGCTTCAGCCTTGCCCATCTCCAGTATACAGCCTCTGAGGAATTAGGGAATGTAGCTCTTGACATAGAATGGTTCTTGCTTGCTTGAATTTGTACCCCAAACTTTAGGTAAAAAAGCTCCCAGATTGGTTCACATACAATCAATGAAAACATACAGTCCCCTGTCTTAGTCCCCTCTCCCTCTCTTCCTCTTCCTAATCCTAACACACGTGGGGAAAGGGTCAGGGAGGAAAGATGGAGGGAAATCAAACTCTGGCGACAATTCTTAAAGAGTTTGTTCTTATAATTAACAGCTTACGTTGTTCAGGGGTGGAAGGTGCCTGATGGAGCCAAGCTTTTGGAGCTTCCCACATTCTGAAATAGAGACGTTTCTGCCCTTAAGGAGCTGGTCCATAGCTCAGTGGTAGGGCGCCTGCTTTGCATGCAGAAGGTCCTCGGTTCGGTCCCCAGCATCTACAGGTTGGGCTGGGAAGAACTCCTGACCGAAACTCTAGATAGTTATTGCTCTGCTTATCTCCCGCTTGGACTACTGCAATGTGCTCTACGTGGGGCAACCTTTGAAAGTGACC